AATATCTTAACTCTAAAACCTTTATTATCTAAAACTTTTACTTAAGTCTGCTATAACATTACAAAAATAAAAAAAACATAGCTGTCTAAAGCTAACACCACATACCATAGGTTATGTTAAATAACTTTTGAAATATGGTTTGTTAAGGAAAAATAAGGTTTAGTTTTTTAAGAAAATTTTCTCCCTTCCACCAAACTAAATTTTTTAATTAATTTAAAACAGCACAATTCAATATAAGCATGAAGAAAGAGAAAAATCTAAAGGTTCTAAGGAGGAAAATAGTACAAGTACAAGTACTAAAAATAAGTGCTGAGCAGTAGTAAATCTAAAACTAAAATATAAAGCATGAAATTCGCAAAGTGAAATACTACTCTAACACAAGCATTTTTAAATAACATGAGAAAAAGTAAAATAATAATGCATTAAGATAAAATAAAAAGTTTTAACACACAACCCACTCACTAATAGTACATCTAAGTGACTAATAAAACCTACATAAAAAAACAACAATTTAATCATCCTCTTCATCATCATCTTCATCATCTTTCCCTATCGATCTGTGACACTGATATAGGGAAAATCTAGGGCAAGTAGGAAACTCAACTGAATGATCAGCCTTTAAGAATTTCACTAAATTTTCATCAAAAGTAGCATCATAGTCACTCTTACTCTCTAAAATTCATCGTAATGATCCATATGCTCTTCAACATTCTGCATCTAACTTTGTAATGATAGAATATCCCCTACTGAATAAACAATTGCTCCATGATAGTGTTTAAGGAAGAAGTACCAGAAGTAGAAAGTCTCGAGGCTGAAGCAGATGGTGCATTAACAGTTGTAAACCCTTGGGTTCAACCCAAATGAACCCAAGTCAAATCCTAAACCCTTAGGCTCAATCTAAATGAACCCAAGTCAAACCCAAAACCCTTGGGTTCAATTCAAATTGAACTTAAATCGAATCAAAAACCCTAAATCCATCAAAACCTTAATTAGGTCTAACCTTAATTAAACTTAATTAACCCTTAATCCCTACTTACATTAGGCTTAAGTGACCTTTAAAACTTAATTAAGTCTAAACCTTAATTAAGTCTAACTCTAATTAGACTTAATTAACCCTTAAGCCTTACTTACACCCTTAAGCCTTACTTATTAAACTTAAATTAGGTCTAACCCTAATTAAACCTAATCAACCCCTAAGCCTTACTTACATTATTAGGCTTAAGTGACCTTTAAGCCCTAATTCAGTCTAACCCTAATTAGACCTAATTAACCCTTAAGGCTCACTTACATTAGGCTTAAGTGACCTTTAAACCTTAATTAAGTTTAACCCTAATTATAACTAATTAACCCTTAAGCCTTACTTACATTAGGCTTAAGTGACTTTAAACCTTAATTAAGTCTAACCCTAATTAGACTTAATTAACCATTTATTTATACTTACATTAGGCTTAAGTGACCTTTAAACTTAATTAAGTATAACCCTAATTAGACCTAATTAACCCTTAAGCCTTACTTACATTAGGCTTTAGTGACCTTTAAACCTAAATTAGGTCTAACCCCAATTAGACCTAATTAATCCTTAAGCCTTACTTACATTAGGGTTAACTGAACTTTAAACCATAACTACGTCTAACCCTAATTAAACCTAAGTAACCCTTAAGCCTTACTTGCATTAGGCTTAAGTGACCTTTAAACCCTAATTAGGTCTACCCCTAATTAGATTTACTTAACCCTTAAGCCTTACCTACATTAGGCTTAAATCAACTTAAATCATAATTAAGTCTAACCCTAATGAGACTTTTACTTACATTAAGCTTAAATCAACTTAAACCCTAATTAAGTCTAACCCTAATTAGACTTAATTAAACCCTAAACATTACTTACATTAGGCTTAGATTAATCTCAAACCTTAATTAATTCTAACCCTAATTAGACTTAATTAGATCTTAAACTATACCTACATTAAGCTTAAGACTTAATTCCTAGGTTCAAACACCATTAGACCTAGCTTAAACCCTTAGCTTCTACCTAAATTGAACTTAAGTCACCTTAAAACTCATAGGCTAAACTTAAATTGAATCCAAGTCATCTCAAACCTTAGATTCAATCTAAACTGAACTCAAATTTCCTAAACTTCGTTAGGTCCAACATACATTGGATCTAAACTTTAACCTATATTAAACTTACCCAAACCTCTTAAGGTCCAATCTATATTGAACTTAAACTCTAGATCCAACCTACATTAAACCTAAAATTTAAGTCTAATCTACATTATACTTAATCAAATTACTTTAAGTTTTACCTAAATTAAACTTAAGTGACATTAAACCTTAGGTTATACCTAAATTGAGCCTAAGTGACCTTAAACTTTAGGTTCTACCTAAATTGAACCTAAAATATTCCATACCTTAGGTTCTTCCTAAATAGAACCTATGTGACATTAAACCTTAGGTTCTACCTAAATTGAATTTAAGTGACATTAAACCTTAGGTTCTACCTAATTTGAACCTAAGTGAAGTTCTACCTAAATTGAACCTAAGTAACCTTATTCTTTATGTTCTACCTAAATTGAACCTAAATAACTCAAGCCTCGGATTCTACCTAAATTGAGCCTAAATCACCCTATACCTTAGGTTTTACCTAAATTAAACCTGAGTGATACTAAACCTTAGGTTCTACCTAAATTGAACCTAAGTGACGTTAAAATTTAGGTTATACCTAAATTGAAACTAAATCAACCTATTCTTTAGGTTTTACCAAAATTGAACCTAAGCGACCTTATACTTTAGGTTCTACCTAAATTGAACCTAAGTAACCTTATACGTTAGGTCTACCTAAATTGAACCTATAAAACTCAAGCCTCAGACTCTATCTAAATTGAACCTAAATCACCCTATACCTTAGGTTTTACCTAAATTAAACCTAAGTGATATTGAACCTTCGGTTCTACCTCAATTGAGCCTAAGTGACATTAAACTTTAGGTTCTACCTAAATTGAACCTAAATCAACCAATACCTTAGGTTCTACCTAAATTGAACCTAAGTGACATTAAATTTTAGGTTATACTTAAATTGAACTTAATTGACATTATAGTTTAGGTTCTATCTAAATTGAACCTAAATCAACCTACACCCTAGGTTCTACATAAATTGAACCTAAAACAATCTAAATACCTTAGTGTCTACCCATATTGAATTTAAGATTTAAGTCTAACTTACATTATACTTAACCATATCAACTTAAACATTAACGTTAATTGGCATTGGATTTAACTAATTCCATTAAGTTCATTCTTAAAATGAATTTAAAACTACTGATTCAATTCTTACAAGTCTCCTGACATAGAAAAAAATACCAAGGACATAAAATCCACTCTAAAAGTCAATAAAACTTAAACATAAACCCAAAAATGCAACTAGGTTTGAGAAGATATTTTGGAGGAGGTAACCGTTAGTTGAGAACAAAATATCTTCCAGTCATTTATTACTAATAAATCTGCAAACTTAATGGTCTAGGACGACGGAACCATGGGATCCTGTTCTGGTCATCCCAAATAAAAATAAATAACAAAACGACAAAAAATAACGAGCTAATAAATTGTAAACGACCTAAAATTTTTCAGCCCCTACAATTCAAATAAGACACTAAAACTTAAGATTGAACCTTAATGAAAAAAGATCGCCTAACGCAACTTGAACCCCAGTGTTCAGATCTATGAAGAACTTTTGGACGACACAATCTGTGGTTGCTGACAAGAATCTTCCAGTCCCGTTTTAATTTTCTTTCGGACTAAGTAGGTCTGAATACCCCGACAACCCCAGGATGACGGAGTCATATACATCTTGACCGAGTTGTCTAAAAATTATTCAACAAACTAAATCGACAAATTAAAACATAATTTCAGGCTAATTTTGATTTGCAGGTTTGCTAAAGACATAAGGCAAGTCATGTTTCAGATTTACTTTGCATGTTATTAGGATGTGCTAACTCTATTTTGCAATGATGACATTCTAAAGATGGAATGGTGAATCTCAAAACAACAAAACGAAACAAAACAATAAAATGACATCAACACAACAAAACAACATCAAAACAACAAAACGACAAAACAACAACACGACAAAAACGACATGCATAAAAAAAATGACTAAACAAAAGCTTTAGGATTGTTTCAAATTCTTAGAATTTATTACCCTTAGGATGGAACATTGACGTTTCTTCTTTTGATCTTTGTTGATATTATAAGACAATTGGAGTTATTGCTCCTCCTGAAATATTAGTTTTGCCCCTCCTAAAAATCATTTTGTTCTTGATCGCCCTAGCTTCTCCCATATTGGATATAGGGGGACAGTTTGCACTCCCAAAAAAAAAAAAAAAGAAAGAGCTGATTCCGCCCTCTGCCTAAATGCGCACGGATTGGATGCTAAGTATATAAACGTTCCATAAATACATCCTCACGACATTGGAAAAAAGAAATTGCTTAGGATGTCGTCAGAATTTTTCTTTTTCAAAAAGGAAAAACCATGCTTAAAAATGTTCTCAAACGAGCAAAATAATTATCTTATTCGGATTTGCAGCTGCACCTTCTCTCGTACATATTACTTGCCTCAAATTTTCCATTTGCGTCTGCATTGCTTCACCTTCTAAGAAAAATAATTCATATCATTAACTCCTCCTATACATCAGACATTCTAAAAGTTTTCCATATTAACAGTAATCTCAGATACTAATAGAGTTTGTAATTTAGGAGAATATAAAATATTAAATGATTTAATATAAGAATAAATTGATGTTAATGATATCGTCTGTGTAATTTTAGAATTAAAATATTTTACAAATAAATATGAAGGTTTAAATTTGGATACATAATATATAAGTAAATTCATGATAAAGTTACCCTTTTTTTAATATATTTCAATTAATTCTGGTTGAACTTTCTTTTGAAAAGCATACGTTTGTCTTTGGATGCCAGCAAGCTAATAACATCGCCTAATTGCAGGTTACTAATTGGTTCATCAACGCAAGGGTGAGGCTATGGAAGCCCATGATAGAGGAGATATACTTGGAGGAAATAAAAGAAGACGAACTAAACCCAGGCCCTAGCTTCTCCTCCATTGATCCCAAAAAGCAGGCCGAAGGTGTCCCCGAGCCGGACTCCTCCTTCATTAACGCCGACTGCCGAGGCCATACGAATCAGAGAAGCTTCCACAACTACCCAAATCAAGTTCAAATAACAGACCATTTCGGTTTAGCAGACTTTGATTTGTCTTCCTATGCCGAATGCAGCGGTCAGAGTTACAGTGGCTATGGAGTCTCCCTCACACTTGGCTTGCAGCAACACAATGGCAGCGGTTGCGACGGAGGCGGTGGCTTCTCGTTGTCGCCGATGAATCATCTGAAATCTGCCGTGATCGACGGCGAGGTGCGGAAACTATCTGACAGGAACTTGATGGGAGCTCAAGTGCTGCATGACTTAGAGGGTCCGAAAGCCGGCTGGGGTTAAGTTGAGAAAAAAAATATTACGTGTAAATTTGATGATATTGTGGTGGTATTATGATATTATTCATATTATTGTTTAGGGAGTTCCCTGATTTTAATATAGGTGATTTGATAGTATCTCTTAAATGCTTTGTGCCAAAATACATGTTAAGGGAGAAATGTTGGACTTGTTTTGGGTGAATAAATTACATGAATTTCGATTTATTGTGTATCGTGTGTAACAAATTATTTGTTGTTTACAAAGTAGTACATAAGTTGCAGTGAAATTTAAACTAATTTTCTTGTCAAATAACATCATCAGTAACAATTATGCAATCAAATAACATTATGTAATTGTTGAGTGTAACAAAAATTCAGAGCAACTGAGAGAATTTTATGTATTAGTTTTGTAATGCCAATCCTTGCACATACACAAATAAAACAGGAAAAATACACTGAGGCACTACATCTTTTACGTGGAATACTTATGAAAGAAAAGATCATTTAATAATAAATAACTAAAAAAAGTTATTGAATTCTTAAGAAATATTTGTTAGGTCTTTTATAATCATAGAAAATAATTTCACGAAATTTTTAGTTATTTAGATTAGTCAAATTAAATATTAAACTAAATGGAAGTATCCAAAAGTAACAAGTCATTCACTAACCCCAGAAAAATTACAAAATAAAAAATAAATTAAATAAAACTAGAAAAAAAAAAACAAAAACTCTCTACTAAACCTTAAGCATCGAGATAACTTGGGAAAAGTAAAATCAATGTAATTTAAATAATTTTTTTTATTTAAATTATATATATATATATATATATCCCCAAGCTACACGAGGTGGTAGCAGGCTCCTTCACAACACCATTGAAAAGCACGAGCGTCGAACCTGTAAATCCCCAAGCATATGTATTAATAAAAGTTCAAACCAAAACACCATATCTGCCCACCAAAATAGGAAGTGGCCACAACATTAAAAAAAAGAATCGCAAAGCCTTCTCAATATAATCCCACAGTGATATAATATAGACAACAACACCCAAAATAACCCCTCTAATATAGACAAAAACAAGACATTAGAGGTTCAAACATAAAGCATATCCAACCAAAACCCAAACAACAACCACCACCAAGCAGTAAATGGGGTAAGAGCCCACCAGCAATTAAGGGCATGCTCCACCCCCTACAGTAAAACCGATACAACTCAAGAGTAATGAAAGTAGAAGACCAAAGCCAATGGCCTAATGAAAATATGAGATAGTGTGGAGAAAGAGTGACAGGTATGGCTGTAAAAGCTGCCAAAGCAATACAGTGGCACACCTTCAAAATAGAAAACCAGACACATTACTAGCACACCAAACCCATCAGAGTGTAAAAAAAAAGCCTCATCAAATAAGAACAAGCAAAATTCACAAAATTCTGAGTTATGGCAAATCCAAAAAATCCCCACCAATAAGTCATCTCAACTCGACAGATGGGTTAGAGCCTACCACCAAATTGGTTAAACCATTCCTGACGAACCAATGGATAGGCCAATTGCCCGCCCTATAAATGAAACTCCATTCAATGCTCAAGTTCCAATTTTTTTATAACCCCAAATTCTGTTTAAGCAACCCATAAGATGTCAAGGCGGTATTTGTTTCCCGCACAAATAATTCAACAAAAGTAAGAAATCCAACTCAACTATCAGACCGACCAACCATTATTATCAACCACCCGAAGAGCCAAACCTACAGGCCAGGCCTCAGCCTCAAGGGAATAGGATGCAATACAAGGTGAGGAGAAGAAAAGAATGCACTTCCTCATGTAATCACTGAAAGCCCCACCTACATCAGCTCTCTAAAAGGACCAACTACCATCTATATTTACCTTGTAGCACCCGTGGGGTGCACCTAACCAATTGGGGATTAGCAGTCCCAAAACTATTTAGATGAGTGCCAACAAAAACATTTTCCTTAAACTACTTAGAATTACCTATTTTATGGAGATATGCTAGACTATTGGCTATAACAACTGGAATAGAAGTTATAATGCCATTGTGTTTACTAGCATTCCTTGCCATCCACAAAAAGCACAATAAAATAAAAGGTAAATATGCTAATAAATCTTTCCGTGAACTTCCATCAGCCGAAAAGTTCAAACCGTCACTAACACAGGTTCAGCTGGGAGGATTCTCCTATGGAAGAGATTACCAGTAATTTCAAACCTGTGTCGAGTAAGAGCATTGAAAAAATATGTGGTTAGTTGTTTCCTCGAAAATTTTGCAAAGACAACATTGAGAAGCAAAACAAAGTGCTTTAAGTTTTAGAATATCATGATAACATAAAAATAGTAGAAAATTTCCCCACATAAAGAAAGACATGGATATTGTCAATACCTTTGCCCATATAAGTTCCCCCAATCCACCTTATTAAACAAATATTGCAGCTCATAAGTGTGCTTAGTTATTGAACTGTTGTGAGGAATTTTAAGAAGCATAGAATCTTTTTTTATATAAATTTATTGGTATTTTGGAAATTGCAATAGAGTTAAAGCCAACCAATTCCTACAAAAGCTGAGGATTCCACATTTCATCTACCCAAAGATTAGAAACCAATAAATTACTATGATTCGCGCATCCAGACACACCTACCAACTCAAAATCAGTCCATTGGTCCCTTCAAAAAGAGATGATGCCCCTTCCAATGACCCAATGAACATATTTTGAAGCCACATCCATTGCATTTAGCAGGGCCTTCCATATTTTAGAGTCACTTTTTTTTCCAACTAACAACAGAGAGAAATATTTAGTAGTCGTATAATTGGACCACAAAGAGAGACCCTTCCTGAATTTGAACCATAGTTTAATGAAATTTATTTTAGCAATATGTTTTAAATCCTTCAGACACCAGTGACATAAGGCGTGCAGAGTTTCTTCCAAGAACACCAGATTTTATTGGAGGACCCTCCAGCCCAGAGGAATTTATTAAATCATTTCTCCAAAGCCACCTATGTACTGCATTTAAGGTTAATGACCTGCAAAGCATAAATAGGTAGTCAATTAAGCACACTTTTAATGAGTATAATCCTCTCAAAGGAATGATAAGAGTTCCTCCAGTCTAGAATTTATTTTTTAACTTTCTCCACAATTGCATCCATCTAAGTTTGTCTCCTTTTTGTCCTCAACAAGTCCACTCCCAAATATTTAAGAGGTAGTTGAAATATCTTATAACCAGTAAAGTTAGTTATCCACCCAAATATCTCCCTATTGACATTTCTCCCCAGAATAATACAACATTTCATTTTATGAAAAGTTAAACCTGAAGCCTCTTGAAATCCTTGTAAAGTAGATTGTAGAAAGGTGACAACTCTTTTGGAAGCATTAAAGAAGATTATTGAATTGTTGGAAAAATTAAACGACTCACAACCATGTTTGATTTATTTGAGGAGTGATTAGGGTGAGCTGAGTGTGCATGATTTAAGAGCTTGGAGAGATAGTCTAAGGTCAGAATAAAGATGGTAGGGGACAATGGGTCCCCTTGCTTAATTCCTCAGTTAACTAAGAAAATACCGAAAGAAGAGCCATTGATTAAGTTCTATATAGATTACACTCCAACTAATGTCTGATCAGGAAACAAAAATTTTGATGAAACCCTTTACCGTAAGTACATTGATAATTAAATTCCAACTGATAGTGTCATAAGCTTTTTGGATATCAAGTTTGAGAACCAAATTCCCACTACTATATTTCTTTTCAAGATCTTCAATTAATTCTTGGTAAAGAAGGATATTATCAAATATTTCCCTCCATTTAATAAAAGTTGATTGTTGTGGGGATATAATAAAAGGAAGGTGAGGTCGTAGTCTTTTAACAATGATTTTACTAATGATTTAAGATAGGACGGTAGTGAATGAAACGGGCCTAAATTAATCACAAGTTGCCTTCTCCCTGATTTTTGGAATTAGCACAATAGTTGCGACATTGAAAAAGTTACCTGGGTTTTCGCCCCTAAAAAAACTTTGAATAGCCTTTATCCCTTCTATTTTGATAATGCTTTAGCTTTTGATATAGAAATCAATTGTGAACTCATCTGGCCGCATAACCTCATTACAATTAACCTTCTTTAAAGCATAAAAAATCTCCTCCTCTCTTAGAACATAGCTCAAAGATAAATCGTTAGTATAAAAAGCATCATCATTGAACAGCTTAGCATGTACTTCATTCACCTGCACTTGAGTGTCAAATAGCTCTGTAAAATAATTAACAACATTATTATCAATCTTGTGTAAATCAGTGAGCTAGTCTCCCTCTCCATTTTTTATTATAATTATGAAGTTTAGATTACTTCTTTGCTTTATAGATGCATGGAAAAATTTAGAAAGAATAAGAGATGTATTGTTGATCAGATAAAAATTCAGCTTGTAGAAAAATTACCCGACCTACATTTATGGAAGAGAGTAAGTTTTTAGAGTATGTACAATTCTATCATAGATATATTAAGTATTTCTCTAAAGTTTATAAACCACTGTCATTTATTAGAGAAGAATGTGTCATTTATTTTTTAAAAGCAGCATTTAGCCTTTGAAGTGTTAAAGAAAAAACTAATCACATTACCTATTATTGTAGCATCTATCTGGCAGTATCTTTTTGAGTTGATGTGTAATACTAGTGATTATACTCTAAGAGCTATGCTAGGCCAAATGAATTATTAGATTTTTCATGTAAGATAATATGTTAGTAGAACTCTTAATAAAGCTTTAATTAGTTACGCTACCACTAAAAAAGAGTTGCTAGCTAATATATGCATTTGATAAATTTAGATCCTATCTGATAGGTATCAAATTTAAGGTTTACATTGACCACTCAGCTATCAAATATCTTATAACTAAAAAAAATAACAAACTTTACTTGAATTGATGAATATTTCAATTATAGTAATTTGATATTGATTTTGTGGATAGGAAGTGTAGTGAGAATCATTTGGCTGGTCACTTGTTGAGACTTTAGTAGGAAATTTTGAGAATTCGGTAGATGATATTAATGAAAAATTTCTTGATGAATAACTTCTTTCGATCATTGAAAAAAATATTATTTGGTATGCTAACATTACTAAATTTATTTTCAATCGAATCATTCCATATTATCTATCATATCACCAAAGGAAAAACTTCATGTATGATGATAAATTCTATTTTTCAATTAATTATAT